AAAGTCGGCTTTTTCTACCACATACGGGAAACTGGATGGTGACGTCATGATAAACATGAATTTCATTGGCGCGTTTAAGTTTGTAGTCATGATTAGGTTCCAGGGCACTGCTCTTTTTCAGTTGATGTATTCCATCACGAAGAGGTTTCACAAAGTCCTCCCTCAGGAGACGAAACTGCACATCTAGATAGTGGTCCAAGTCTCTAAACCTTCTGTCGGTGATGTTTTCGCGAAGGAAGGGTCTGGAAATTAGATCTTCTACTTGAGGGATGACGCTTAACTCTCTGAAGTTTTCTGGTGGTTCACCTTGTGACTTCTGTTCATTTGCAAACTCTGCACAACGAATTGCTTCATTTCTCAATTCTTCCAATTGCTGGATCTTCTCGTCAAGATGATCGACGTCTTGGACCAGATTCAATTCTTTTAGCTCCTTCACCGACGTGCTAAGCTGTGCCAGTGGTAGCTTGTAAACAAGATCTTTACCAAATTTCTGAAGAAATGTGACAAAAATTACCGTCAGATTACTCACTGTGCAAAAACGATCATTTTCGTCTTTCCAGTGGTTAGCATGAGGCATTTCGTTGATAAAACTCGATAAAACCGTTCCTGCAATGAAATTCTTTGCAGTGGGAGAACGTAAAATCCTGTCGACGTTTTCGGCGATGAGGTTGTTTGCTGAGCATAGAAGATAAAAAGCAGAAATAACGAGCTTTAGAAACTCTGGGTTCGATTCTTCGTTGCTCAACTTCTCTGAAGCCAACAGCGCCTCGAACCTTTCCGCTTCACTGATGAGCTTTAAAGCTGGCGATGATTCTCTGCTGATTTGTTCCAACTCTTTGAAGCTGATAGGCCAAGTCACATTACCCTTGTCTTCCCTTGCTCGTCTTCGTTTCGGGGCGTCATCCATCCTCGGGACATGTTCGGACTTTCGCTTCCGATGGTGCGAAGAAGCATTGAGCTTACTTCGTAAATCCCTCGGGTAATGTTCATTGTAACGTGACATCTGTTTTGTGAAAGTGAGAAGGTGAGCAGAAACACTAATTCATACCAATGTGTTATGAAAACAGGGGTACCCTGCTTCATGTTTTGGACACAAGTGACGTAAATTAAGGAAAAAGAGAAAAGAACCTGTTTATAACGCTCACAGTAATTGCAAAAGAGTATTGAGACAAGGAGCCGGACAAAGTTAATTAAGTTGAATTCGGCACTCACACTATTTCCCAACAACGGGTGGTATAACGGGTGGTTTAAGCACTTAAACTAATACTTTAAGCACTTAAACTAATTTACAAAAGAAAAGACTGCAATAGAGTGTCAAGGCGATATGTCACTGCGAAAATGAACTCTGGTTTTACAACACAAACTAGAAAATGCAAATTTTAGCGAAGCGCATGTTGGACTTTCTACCAAAAAAAAATTATTCGAACGATGCGAAATTGTTCTTATTTGACTAACAACTTTCGACTTTTATCTGATGTAAACAAAAGTTTTGTTATGATAGTCTCTACAATATGCCGTGGGCAACAGTCTGATAAAAAAAATGTTAATTTGTCGCGGAATTTTCGCTTAAAAGTTTGGTCGAATTAATGAAATCGCTGAAACAATTGCGGAGACAATAGATGCATTCCCCGTAACTTCCATGCGCCAGTGGTTTATAAGATGTGAACTAAATCGAATCCAGTTTAAAAGACGAAGTTTTCAAAGATTATAAACCAAACAATAAGTATTGAGTACGAGTTGAAAAATCCCTTTTTTCTGTCTAGCGTTCAAGGTTTAAAAGCTTCTGTTCTCAAGAGGAATTCATGAAACCTGAAGAAAGGATTGAAACGAAACTAATGATCGTCATCGATAAGCTTTTAGAGACAGCCCAAGATGTAGTTTCAATCTACACATTTTTGGTATTTCACAGAAATACAAAGTTCCTTAAAATGGCTATACTTGAGTCAATATTGTTTCCTCTAACGTATCATTTAGTTGCTCGAAGGCTGTTGTTCAGTTTTCCAGGTTCTTGGAGAATTTAGTACAAACATTCCTTGTGCGATTCCAGAAGAGATCCTGATAAAGAGCATCACTAAAGTTAAAAAAACTTACCTTGAAATTACAAGTTCAAAACGTTATGGAAACTAAGCTGAGATCAACCTTGTTTCACGAAGAAAATTTTTCATCCAATACTAGTTTCCGCGAATTGCTCTTCAGCTGCGCAAATTCTACGGAAATCAGCAGAGTCATTGGATTAGAAGTAATTAGGAATGTCAAAAATGTGAGACTTCTGCCTTGTGATTGGTCTGTTCTTCAAACACTTGTGCGTCATCGATTCTGAGAAACAGTTCTGTTCCTCTTTGGTTTCTGAGAATTCTTGGAAGAAATTTTCATGTTACTAACATATATTTCTAAATAGAGGTTAACAAAACCACCAAACTGATTCATTCTTTAGGAAAAATGTTAAAAATCATGGACACGAACAACTTTCTATCGCCTCTGGCATTTGAGATTCTACTTCCGGTAGGCCTTGCAGTCCTTACGATAATTAATGCAAAAATGGTCTCGTCCTGCCATCTGGCGAGAAACACTTGACAAAATGCATATTTTCGGTATTTTCATAGGTCTGTTACTTTTAGACACATTCGTCATCAATTTTGAGAAATACAGTTAGTAAGTTACACTTTTCCTTGAGCAAGAGGGAGATGGGGGAGGGGGAAGGGGGGGTGGGTTCGAGTCCCACACATTTTGAACCCCTCCCCTCTTACTTACACTACCAAATGGTCTGTTATGGGCAATCTGTCTTAGTCCTCCTCAGTTCCTCTAGAGTTCAGGGACTGGGATAAGTTTCTCTTAGTTAGGAAAATGTTGTTAAGGATGTCATACACAAGGGTGAAGTCCCCGCAACTTCTAACTGCAGTACACACTTGAAATCCAAAGGACATCATACCTTGTGAATTACAAGTTCCAATCACTTCTTTCGTCAATTCAAAGAAATTTTCCTGATAGAAAACTTTTAGTGAACTCTAAGGATTACTAACCTGTGGACTCTTGTATGCTAAGACTAGTTGCAGGGACTTGTCCCTGCAATTGTAGAAACTGTAATAAGAATAAATTTCTCTTAAGAACAATATCACCATATGGTGGACATTACCCACATATTTTGACTTTACTTGGGCACTTATAACAGTAACCAGAACAGGGAGACCAGACTTGTCCCAACAGGATGAGAAACTTGTGATCAACCAGCACTGTGTGACCAAATTATCATACTTACCAGCCTCTTCTTGCCAGTGGAATATTTACAAAAAGTCAAGGGACTCTGGAAAAAACCCTGTTGACAACTTGTTTACCTAGCCAGCCTGGTCAGCACTTCCTAACTAGTTGTAAAGTGCCCATTGACACCTCAAGAACTTTTTTTGATACTAACAGTAACTGTCTTTGATTGCACAGAGAGAGCCATTTACATAATTCATGATTTCAAATGCATAACTTTACAAAATTTAACCCTTTCAGAAATAAAGTGTGTAAAAATACTCAACACTTATGATACACAGCCTAAAATATCATTGAGAATTTAATATTTTATTAGTATTAGTAAAATCTATCCTTTAGAAATTCCAAGTTTAAGAACTTCATGTATCCTTAATCAAATATTTAATATCATCCCATCATTCACTTTGTAATTTGAGACCCCAAATATTTAAACTAAGCCAGTAGAAAACATTTCTTTTTTATACCCAGACATTAACCCATTTATAGTTGTAAATACAAGACAAACTCAAAAAGTTTACAGTCTTTTACAATCAATATTTTCTTAATCACCAGGGAATTCCATTTTAGCTCTGAGAAAAAACTGATTTTGAAGTGATCAGAACTACAAGACACAAACTCAAAAAGGAACATCACTAAATGTTGGTTTTTAACTCTTTAACTCCCAAGATCTGATTGTTGATTTTCCCTTCTAGAAGCTACACATTTCTTTGTAAATTAGTAATGAGAATTTAGTGTTAATTACATTAACAACTTCTACCAGATAAGTTTGAGTTTTCCCATGATCTGTTTGTTGGATGAGGGGGAGGATATTAGAGGGAGAAGTTATATGCTGATTACTTCTGGGAGTTAAAGAGTTAAATGTAAGGCCTTATAATCAACCTTTTCCAAAACACCAGGGAATTTCATCATAGCCCTGATAAAAAACCTTATTTTGATGTGATCAGAACTACAAGTCTATTAATAAACCCTCTAACTCCCAAGATCTGATCATCAATTCTCCCCTCCAGCTACTACAAATTTCCTTGTAAATTAATTATGAGAATCAGGTGTTCAATCAAGGTAATAAATTGTACCTGATGAGTTTGAGTGTTCTCATTACCTGTTTGCGGTATAATGTATGGATACTCTAGGGAGAAGTTACATGGTAATCACCACTGGTAGTTAAAGGGTTAATGCAAATTTTCCCTTTCTTTCATAACTTGGATATTCTTCTTTTCTTGGAAATTTAAATTTTTTACGCAGTCATCCCATTTGTTATCACTCATATGATTGCAAACCAAATTGGACTCCACTCAGTCCTATTACCATTACAAATCTATAAAACAACAAATAACATGTACACAGAACCCTTCCTTGATAGCAGACTCTATGTCTAACAATATCAGGTACTTCTCAACAGATTTTAATCAGTAATCAACTTGGATTTGAGATGATGAGGAAAGCTTTAATTCCCTCCAAATGGCCTGCCAATCTGAATACTTGTGGCTAACATTGCTACAACAGAATCCATGACGAATTTTTAAACATGCACTAAAGAGACGTTTACCCCAGGAAGAGGCATAGTTAAGATTTATAAAAGGGGAGGGGGTGAGAACTGTCTCTCCACACACCCAGGGTACCCACCTGACTACAACGCGTGCCATGCATTTTCAATTCACATTTTTTTCACCACCTAAATTATTAGATTGTAACAAAAAAAAATCATCTGACAACGGATACCAGGAGCACCTAGGCCCCCCCTTTCTGGCCACGCCACTGTTATAACTGTCTATCATATTTCATATTTTTCTTCTAATAATGAGTTCTATGGACTATTCGTGTCTGAGCTCTTATCTTTAAATTACTGTGACTTGACTATTGTAATAAAACACTGTTGCACGTAAGTCCTATCAAGGTTTGTTATATTTGTCAAAATCAGATGAACTTTAGAATCAGGTCGTAAAATATTCCACCCAAGTTACCCCAAAAATATATTTTTCTGAAACATGAACGTTCGTAAAAAACATTAATTTGCCTCTCACTATCAAAAGTAATATAAATATAAATTTTATGGATGATTCATCTTGATGCAATGTCAGTTGAGTGTCAGATACGATCTGGGACTACATTGCTTTTGCCTCACTTGGCTCTTTGAGTGCTTAAGAAAAATCGAGCCAAATTCTTAACCAACTAAATCCAAAACTAAAATCTGTCAGTACGTAGTCACTCTCGTTTTTACGCGCTTTTAATTTGCGTTCCCACCGGCTTCTAGCTTTTTTTTCACCTTTCTGAATGGATATTATGAAAAACGTGATTTTCTTCGAGCCAAACTGAAGCTCAATGAGCTCTATCAACATAAAAAAGTTACACTATTTCATCTAAGTTTTCATAGTTAGCTAAGTTTGCTTGTTCAGACCAGGCCGGGTACCGCGCATTATCCATCTCAGAAGCCAGTTGGTTTCCCTCCACCAGTTTGTGGCTTGTTCCACCAATCACAGCTTTGCATTCAGGACATTTGCTTGTCTCCATGGCGCCGCCGCACTCACCAATTGCATAGACATGTCCACGGGGACATTTGAACCAATGACCCTTAGACAGACCAATTGCTTTCACAATCTGCCTCTTTTCTTCTGGAGTCAACGGGTTAAGAGCAGGCTCGGTCCTCCTGAATACCAAAATATTATTGTTTCTCATGAAGAATTTAGTATTTAGATTTACGACACGAGGCGAATCGCTACTATTTAAAGGAGGTGTAATTAGAACTTTGCTGGCACTATCAACCGATCACTATAGGGAGCAGTTATGTTTTTTGTGTCAAACTTTGAAAGATGCTTGAATTACAGGAAAAAACAAATTCAATGTATCATTTCCCCTACATTACTTTACAACTTTGACCAATATCATGCAATAAACTGGAAAGGCAACGTACATACAAAGGCATATATGCCAACTCTCCCGGATACAGACCCAATTTTCCGCTCTCCGTACGGGTGACCAAAACTCCCGGATAAAGGGAAGTTTGGATCAGTTGCTCACAAAAACCTAAGATTTAAGCTCCATATGTTCCAAAATTCCAAAATCACCCGGCTTCTGATGCTTGTATTACGGTTTCTGGCTTCATTTTCTTGCGTGTTGCGCGTTGTTCGTTGCAAACAAAAAGGAGAGAGTTTCTTTTTTGTTACTCCTATATAAGCGAGAGTCTGATTGGATGAGTATTCAACCAATTGAAGTCTCTGACAGATATATCCACGTTTTTCCCGCGAAATTGCTCGGTGGGGGGAGTAGGGGGTCCAAATAAAAAAGAAAGTTCCCGGGGGGATCGCTTTGGCGAATTTGGTCGGGGATGCTGGTCCGAAAAAAAATATCCAGATTCGAGATCTCTAGAGATTGGCATCTCTGCAAAGGTTCCATTCCAAAACTATTTTTGTTAGGAATGTCCTCGTACTACATTTGAGTCTCACAAAGAATGAAAAGTAGTAAGTTAATACTTCATTAGCTTACATATTGAGAAAATTGCGCAATTTGTTGTTAAAAACGTACCTTATCGTTTCAATGTTTTTCATCAGTTTTTCCAGGCGCTCGTCTATTATGCGTTTACCGCTGGACAACTGCTCCTTTACTGCAGTGAACATCTCTTCGCAACTTTCATCTAGCTTTAGTTCCAGGCTCTTGACATCATGACTCAGTAAACAGAATTCGAGTTGGAGATTGAGTCTGGAGAATTCTGTGTTGATGTCTTGTAGTTCTCTGTGCGTTACTCTGAAGGACATGAAACGCTTTTCGAGATAGCTCAGCTCATTTTTCACGTGATCACCTGTCCAAGAGAAAATCGATGTCCATTGCTTACTGTATTTCAATCGGGTGTGTACTTCTTCACAGTTACCGGGTGTATTCAAATTGATGTGTCACGACAAGGCAAACAGCACTTTTCTTTGAGTCAGGAGCTCATTACTGGAGCCCAGTAATGGGCTCCTCTTTGAGTAGATCAGCAGTACTACCCTACGGTACCCAAATAATTGAGAGAGAGAGGAGGGAGAGAGAGAGAGAGAGAGAGAGAGAGAGAGAGAGAGAGAGAGAGAGAGAGTGAGGGGGGAAGGGAGGGAGAGAGAGAGAGAGGGAGGGGGAGAGGGAGGGCATGTTCAAATTTCTTTGATGTCATGTGAGTTTGTCTTAGTTTTTGGTAAATTATTCAAACGGCGAAGAAACTTCAATAACGACAAATACAGACTTACTTTCTAGGCTATTCTCTTTGCAGGTCTCCATCGGGATCTTACCGAGGTTCTTCTTTATTTTGGCGCGCATGAAACATAACCGCTCCATCAGAGTCACTTGGTTCTCTATGAGTGCAATCTTTACTTCATTTTCTTTGATAGAAACCATGAGTTGATCATCATATTTCAGCAGCCCAGCAACAGACTTCCTCAGTGTTATCAACGATTGTTTCTGTCTTTCACCTCTTAACTTTGTTTCCAAACTTTCCAGACGCTGTTCAAGGTCAGACTTTTTCTTCTGCAAGTCATGACTCGCCGTTTTTGATATATTCCACATTGCTATCTTCACCTTCTGTATGTCGTGAATCTGCTGCTTGATAATGGCACTGTATCGCAGGCACGTGCGGATTGGAACCAAACAGCGTGGACACACTTTTGTTTGTATCACGTGAGATCCAGTCGCTTCATCTTGTGACATATCCATGTATCTAAAAAAGGGAAACGAAGTATAAGATTATAGGATCTCAAAACGGAGGAAACACAAAATGGTTGAAAAGACACCAAACCAAGCCCAAAAAGCAAAAAAGAAGTAAACCAACCAAGGCTTCCCAAACATCATTTACCAAATCTACCCATGGACCTCAGCAACGATGGTACCTTGACATGACATTAGCCTTTTGAAAATGGTTACAAGATCAAAATCATAACGAGAAATATTATAAAAAAGAACATTGTTTTCACGATCAAAGCACCTATTATGAGTTTGAAAAGATCTTACAAGACACATCACTGGGTTATGAGCTATAATGTGAAAAAACTCCCTACAATTCCATTTATAGTTGAATAGGCCACAGGTATTCGAAAAACAAAATACCAAGTTATGAGTACCTATCAAGATCAGACACTGCGAAGATGTGTTGGCAGTCTGGGAGCCTGATAAACCGGGCATCTACCTCGTCCTCGCCACCGAGGAATATGTCTGTAATTTTAGATGCGTCGTCATTTTTCATGCACACGACACAAATGCACTCCTTCTCGCACATCAAACCGCGACATACGTGATAGCATGACAAGATTTTCTTGCATGGCACGTCACATCTCCGTCTTTCGCATACTTCGTGACACTGCTTGTAACACTTGTGATGTTGACATTCCCACGAGCACGGATAACGACATGGCAAGCACAGCTCTCCGCACGCTCTACCACATTTACTGTCCCCGCAGCTAATTTCGCAGGTCCTAGGACACGGTGGGCACGGGATGCTGCATCGCTCCTTGCAGACGTGAGAACACACTAGACTGCGTTTACATTCCTCTTCACAGCCCTTGTGAAGTCGTCCCAAACGACAATCGCCACACTTCCCGGAGCACTCGTGACCGCATTCCAAGTTGCCACCACATGGCGCTGTACAATCTGATGGAGTGGCCCAGCAAGCAATAGTGACTTCATGTCCGCATGGCCAGTCCCCCTTCGATATTTTCTTGAGCTCCTTGCATTTGGTGGTGCAAGGCTGCGAACAGTGGGCTTGGCAACGATGGCCACAGGAGAGGGTTTTATCACACCTTTCTTGGCATTCCAGTTCTTTTACGTTGGTACCACATGCTGTATTCTTTACAACGTGACCACACATTGGTAAAACTTTGTCTACCAGTTCCCAACAGTACTTCATACAAGGATCTTTACAAGGATTTAAGCACGGGTGACCACACCCTTTGAGGGTCCTTCCGCAAGGTTCATCACAGATGTAATTCTCATGGTTAGTGTCACGTGGATGACACTGTTGTTTACATACATGACCACAATTCAGACGCACCATGCATGACCTCAGACATCCCCCGGAAGGAGCCTTCTCGCTGAAATCTTCGGCTGTTTCGGCTGTATTTTCTTCTCGATGAGTTTGGCACAAAAGGGGCAGTCCGTTGCCAATGTTACCACTCTTCTCCAAGTCGTTCACAATTTTTTTCCATATCTCACCTGCCTCCGAGAGAAGGGCAAAATTTCCAATACAATAAAAACCCTTTCTGGCACGGGATAGAGCCACGCATGCGCGATTTACGATTTTCAAGAATCCAGCATTTCCATCCTTGTTGCTGCGTACGAGCGAGAGAAGAATGATGTCATTCTCTTGGCCTTGAAAGTTGTCGACCGTCTTCAGACACACATGTTTGAGTTCTTGACTATTTCTCTCGAGGAGGCAGTCTCTGATGGCAAACATCTGCCCCGTGTAAGTTGTCAAAAGGGTAATCTGATTGGCTGCATACCCTTGCTGTACTAAATAATAGCACAATGCGACTAAAAACGTGGCTTCGTGTTTGTTCACATGGCTGTGTGAGTCTTCACAAGGATTCTCTAAATGACTGTGGTTGATAAAGAACATGTTCTTCTTGATGCCTTTGATGTCTTCGTATTTCGTTACCGATTCGTGGTTCTGGAGATCGTCATAAATATGTTTCATCAAGGCGGCAATTTCAGGTCTCATACGATGCTGTATATTGAGAGTCTCGCAGTGAAGACCGACTTTAACCATTCTCTCGAACAGTGACACATCCAGATTGTAATTCTTAGCGAGGTCATAGACTTGTGGTTTAGGTCTTAGTTGCTGATGATCTCCAATCAAAATCAAGTGCTGACAGCCTTGTGTCAGCGACGTAATTGTGTGAGCCTCTAGCACTTCAGCAGCTTCTTCAATCAGAATGATTTTGGGGCGAATCCGTTGTAGAATGCGGCGGTATTTGGCAGCACCAGTGGTTGTCATGCCAATAACACGTGCATCACGAAGAACCCTGTACTCCCTATCAGTAGTAAGTTCGGCTTCACGGGACAATGCTTCTTCGTATACTTCTTGAAACGTTTTCAAGTGTTCTTTTTGTATGATCTCCAATCTTTGAACCCACAGTTTGTACAACCTCCAGCGATCTCTCCTCGACAACCGTTCAACATGACGGATTTTTTGTTCTTGGCTTTTGGTCATTGCCTCGTTGTTTGTGAGATTTCTCCTAACATAATTCGGATTTTTAGCATCTTGCATGGACAGGACGACTATGCTACTCAATTTTACGCTCTCCTCTGAAGATTCATCATCGTCAAAGATGAAACCTGGCGTGGCAAACTCCATGCGGAAATCATTTCGTCGATGGTAATCCTCTGAGCTAGATCTTTGAGTTGTTCCTTCCCTTTCTATGTCCAGCCATCTTACCAGCTCTTCATTGATTGGTCGGTTTCTGGCCACGGTACGAAACTGTTGGAAATGTCTTTCCTTGACACAACCCTGGTTATAAAGCTCTTGCAGTGACAAAATATCCGTTCGTGAGGCCTTGAGTAGGAAAGTGGAACGCTTATAGCACCTTTTGTGGTCTTCGATTTCTCTCTTAGCTGTTCTTCGAACTTGGCGAGTTGCCACATCTGTTATGAACTTTTCGAGTCGTAGACATTGTGCCAACGAATAATTGTTTAATTTTTCATTTCTACTGCGGCCACCGACACGAACAACACCTGTCAAAAGTGAGAGAAGCGGGTTAACCCTTTAACTTCCGTGAGTGACCAAGATAGAATTTCTCCTTACTATATCCATAAAAAATTAATATCATGCAGACAAGTGATAAGAATAAAGAAATTTTTCCTTTACACCCTAATATCATCATGCATATTCTCCCTATTGTTCATCATACGTTTCTTAAGGTGCTTACAAGGAGAATTTGTTTAAGAGCATCTTTAGTTGGTGATCATTTCCTTTATTCTCTTGACCTTTCTGTGTGATTCAGGAGAGATATCGCAAGGAGACATCAGATGCTAATCACTCTTAGGGGTGAAAGGAATAAAGAAAATAGTTTGAACTTACCTTTCATTGGTAGGAGACCCTCCAGGAACTGGTCTAGAGCGTGATTAGTGTAGGATACCATAAGGATGGGAGAGTTCCCCTCGCCGTTCTGCCAAATAGAGGCGTTTTCCAAGAAAGCTCGGGCGATCTTCAAGCCAACGTAAGTTTTCCCAGTGCCTGGGGGTCCTTGGATGACTGCGAACTCTTTGGTTAGCGCCAATTTAAAAGCACGCATCTGTGACTCGTTGAAGCCAAGGATCTTACTGTCTGGCCAATCGAAGGACGGTTCTTCGGTCCTTGCAACTTCCAGTCTGCACGAAGAATTGGTCATGGTTACGCCTGCGACTTGTGACTCGCCCTCCTGTGGGCGTGCAGCGGTAGCTTTCGAAGTTTTAGATTTTTTAGCGGAGGAACGTCTACAAAGAGCGGTGAAGTCAAACGAGATTGGTTCTCCTTGTCTCTCTCTCTGATACTTGGGAGCTTCAACATTATGAACACATTCCACAATGTATTTCTGGAAAGGAAATTCTTCAGGCTTTATATTCTTCATTGCTTCTAAAACATGTCTGTATGCTTCGAAATACGCCGGTGACTCTATCATGACAAACTCTTCTCTCTCCTTGACAAAGACGGCTATTTCTTCTTTATCAACGTTTTGAAAACGTACGTCTAATTCGCCCACACTGAGGTCTCGAGGATTTCGTTCTTCTATTGTGGCGAAGACGAGTGACTTAAAATCATCTGAAGAAAGGCACACTAGAGAACCAAACTTAAGTCGCTTGGATCTCTCCCAGTTCACTTTCTTCACTTTGGAATGATTCAAGTTAAACCGGATTCTGTAAAGCAGGCCTTTTCTGTTACATACGGGATATTGAACAGTGACCCTCTTGTAAACAGAGATCTTGTTGATGCGTTTGGTCTTTTCCTCAGCGCCCGGTTCCAAGGAGTTGTTTTCCTTTGTCAATTGCTTTATACCATCTCGAAGAGGTTTAACGAAGTCTTCTCTTAGGAGACGAAACTGTACATCTAGATAATGATCCAAGTCATTGTACTTTCTTTCGGTGATATTCTTGCGAAGGAAGGGTTTGGAACAAAGATCTACCGCCTGAGGGATGACGCTTAATTCTCTGAAACTTTGCGGTGGTTCCACTTCTGATTCCTGATCATGTGCAGACCTTGAAAGCCGAATTACTTCATTTTTCAATTCTTTCAGGTGCTGGATCTTTTTCTTAAGATCGTCGATATCTTGGATGAGATTCTTTTCCTTGAGTTCATCCAGTGATACAATAAGCTGTGCCAAAGGAAGCTTATTTACTAAGCTCTCACCAAATGTTGGAATGAGGACACGAAAAATCTCCGTCAGATCATTCAGCACACAGATGCGGCTGTTCTCGTCTTTCCAGCAATCAGAGTGAGGCATGTCGTCGATAAAACTGGAAAGAACTGTCCCTGTCCAGAACTTTACCGTGGCGGAGGACCGAAGCAATTTTTCTGCATTTTTGGCCACGAGGTTGTTCCTTGAGCACAGCAAACGAAAAGCACGAATAACCAGCTTTAACAAGTCGGGTCGTATTTCGTCTTGAGCCAACAGCGCCTCGAACCTCTTAGATTTACTAACTAAGCCTAAAATAGCATTTTCTGGGACTCCCTCTTTACAAATGTCTTCCAAATATTTGAATCCTATTGGAGATGGTGCACTGTTCGTGTCCTCTCTACGATCTGTTCGTCGTCGTTTCGGGGCGTGATGGTCGGTCTTCGAATTATCTTCGTAGCCGCGCTTCCGACCGTTCCGATTGTCATGAGACATCTATAAGGGGAAGTAGTCAAATAAGGATAACAAAAGAGGAATATGGTAGGAATTCCTTTATAAAAGGACTTCAACCTTTGAACCCGAAAAATATGTCCCTAAAATGTGTCCCTTAAATGCAAAGGGAAACGATTCAACAAGTACTTTGCTGTAACATCTTACTTAGTGAAACTTGAATTACCAGCTGCATTAAACTAATAAAAACAGGCAAATGATGCAGTATTGTAAGGTTTAGTGCCAAAGTTTCTTGTCAGTTGTCATCGACCTGTATGCCAAGTTTAGTCTCATAGCAAGATGATTTTTTGTTCAAAAATAATATCCTTCACCTCTTATTTTTTTATATCCATTTTTCAAGAGATATTTTTTAATTTGTGGGGCAAATATATCGCAACACATTTATTGGTATGATCTGTTAAAACCAAAAGAAGCATCAAAAGAGGTAAGAAGCAGTTAATTTAATTCAAATACGGTAACACTGAGATAAAAACAACCCGATGAACCTTTGGCCCTCACGTTATGCCTGCTTGCCCAACACTCTATGCACTGGCGTGGGGAGGGTTGGGTGAAATCTGAGCTCGGTTAGTGATTAATTTGAATTTTAATACGATTAATCGAAGACTTACGATCGACCACTTCGGTCCACATCATGTGTCGACGGTGGATAATGAGCGAATGTCGGAAATCAAGCAGGCTTTTGAGGCAGTTAGAGGCGGGCAATTGCACTGATTTTTGGCTTGGTTCTTACAAATTTATCGAATTCTTACGTGCCTGGAGCTGGGACGTGAGCGACATTCGCAAACGGAAGAAATTCAGCGAAGTTCTGGGGGCTTTCGGTCCAGACGGTCCGGGAAGTTGCACGCCTTGAGTTTTTCCTTTGTCTTTGGAATGGCATGAGTGCAAAACTGCAGGATTAACCGTCCCAAAATCCCGAAAAATCACTTGAGACAACACAGGAAAATGAAGGGAATTGAATTTCATTTATCTGACTGTCCTTAAGCGGATTTTGGGGACGAAATGTTACGATTTGCGGTAGTTATGAAACATTTCTCGGGATCACTCGCGCCTTGCCGAGATCGACCGTTAGGGTATCAAATAGCTGACGTTACGTCACGCGGCCTCAAACCCACAGGGTTGTCTGTGGTTGTATTCGGCACTCACAGGAGTTCCCAACAACGGTTGGTATAATTACTTAAACTGATTTACAAAAGAAAAGACTGCAACAAGGTGTCAAAGCGATATGTCACTGCGAAAAGGAACTCTGGTTTTACAACACAAAGTAGAAAATGCAAATTTTAGCGAAGTGAATGTTGTACCTTCTCCCCAAAAAAAAAATTATTCGAACAATGCAAACTAGTTCTTATTTGACTAACAACTTTGGACTTTTATCTGATGTAAACAAACGTTTTGTTATGATAGTCTCTACAAAATGCGGCGGCGCAAAGGGCAACAGTCTGATAAAAACGGAATTTTCGCCTAAAAGTTTGTTCGAATCAATGAAGTCGCTGGAATAATTGCGGATACAAAAGATGCATTCCCCATAACTTCCATGCGCCAGTGGTTTATAAGATGTGAACTAAATCGAATCCAGTTTAAAAGACGAAGTTTTCAAAGATTATAAATCAAACAATAAGTATTGACTACGAGTTGAAAAATCCCCTTTTTCTGTCGAGCGTTCAAGGTTTAAAAGCATCTCCTCTTCAGAGGAATTGATGAAACCTGATGAAAGGGTTGAAACGAAAATCGTCATCGGTAAGCTTTCAGAGACAGCTCAGCGATGAAGTTTCAATCTGCGCACTTTTGTATTTCACAGAAATACAAAGCTCTTCAAAATGGCTATACCTGAGTCAATAATGTTTCCTCGAACGTATCATTTAGTTGCTCGAAGGCTGTTGTTCAGTTTTCAGGTTCTTGGATAATTTAGTACAAAAATTCCTCGAGCGATTCCAGAAGAGATCCTGCTAAAGAGCACCACCAAAGTTTAAAAAACCTACCTTGAAATTACAAGTTCAAAACGTCATCGAAACCGAGCTTTGTTTCACGAGGAAAATTTTTCATCCTATACTAGTTTCTGCGAATTGCTTTTCAGCTGCGCAAATTCTACGGAAATCAGCAGCGTCATTCGATTGGAGGTAATTAAGAATGTCAAAAATGTGAGACTTCTGCCATGTGATTGGTCTATTGTTTAAATACTTGTGCGTCATCGATTCTGAGAAACAGTTCTGTTCCTCTCCGGTTTCTGAGAATTCTTTGAAGAAATTTTAATTTTACAAACATATATTTCTAAATAGAGGATAACAAAACCATCACCACCAAACTGATTCATTCTGTGTCGGGGAATGAGGAAAAATTTTAAAAGTTATGGACAGGAACAACTTTCTATCGCTCCTGGCATTTGAGATTCTACTTCCGGTTTGCCCTGCAGTCCTTATGATAATTAATGCAGAAATGGTCTCGTCCTGCCACCTGGCGAAAACACTTGACAAAATGCATATTTTCGGTATTTTCACAGGTCTGTTATTTTTAGACACATTCGTCATCAATTCTGAGAAATATCTCCGTTCCTGTTCCGCTTTTACGCGAATCAAAAGTCAGTGCTTGGAAAATGTTGCCGTGGTGTGATAATTCACTTCCAAGTGTAAAATGTTCCTTCAGTGAGTGACAGACGTGCAAATTTCCCAGGCAGTGCGACCAAATGGATGGCCAGCTAATATTCTTTTTCTCAGAGTACTCTTTCCTTTCTGTAAAACGGTAAATGGTGGAAGTTCTCGAGGAATGGAGAGAACATGGATTTCAATTCATATTTTTGTGTCAGTGTAACTTTTGTCAGCTTCCCATTGATTCATTGAAATGAAATGAAATTCCCCGCACAACCCTCTCATTTCATGATTGAGAAAGGATCCTCCTATAGAAAGGACTCCTATATTCAAGTCTTATATATATTTTGGTGGAGGTGACGTTGTTGTTGTTGTTTTTTTTGCACTTAGTAAGTTACACTTTTCCTTGAGTAAGAGGGAGATGGGGGGAAGGGGAAGGCGAGGGGGTGAGGCGAGGTCCCACACATTTTGAACCCCTCCCCTCTTACTAACACTACCAAATGGTCTGTTATGGGCATATCTGTCTTAGTCCTCCTCAGTTCCTCTAGAGTTCAGGGACTGAGATGAGTTTCTCTTACTTAGTAAAATGTTGTTAAGGATGTCATACACAAGGGTGAAGTCCCTGCAACTTCTTCCTGCAGTACACATAGAAAACTTTTAGTGAACTCTAAGGATTACTAACCTGTGGACTCTTGTATGCTAAGACTAGTTGCAGAGACTTGTCCCTGCCATTGTAGAAACTGTAATGAGAACAAATTTCTCATAAAAACAATATCGACATATGGTGGACATTACCCACATATTTTGACTTTACTTGGGCACTTATAACAGTAAACAGAACAGGAAGACCAGACTTGTTCCAACAGGATGAGAAACTTGTGATCAACCAGCACTGTGTGACCAAATTATCATACTTACCAGCCTCTTCTTGCCAGTGGAATATTTACAAAAAGTCAAGGGACTCTGGAAAAAACCCTGTTGACAACTTGTTTACCTAACCAGCCTGGTCAGCACTTCCTAACTAGTTGTAAAGTGCTCATTGACAGCTCAAGAACTTTTTTTGATACTAAAAGTAGTCACTTTTTTCTTTGATTGCACAGAGAGAGTCATTTACATAATTCATGATTTCAAATGCATAACTTTACAAAATTTAACCCTTTCAGAAATAAAGTGTGTAAAAATACTCAACACTTATGATACACAGCCTAAAATATCATTGAGAATTTAATATTTTATTAGTATTAGTAAAATCTATCCTTTAGAAATTCCAAGTTTAAGAACTTCATGTATCCTTAATCAAATATTTAATATCATCCCATCATTCACTTTGTAATTTGAGACCCCAAATATTTAAACTAAGCCAGTAGAAAACATTTCTTTTTTATACCCAGACATTAACCCATTTATAGTTGTAAATACAAGACAAACTCAAAAAGTTTACAGTCTTTTACAATCAATATTTTCTTAATCACCAGGGAATTCCATTTTAGCTCTGAGAAAAAACTGATTTTGAAGTGATCAGAACTACAAGACACAAACTCAAAAAGGAACATCACTAAATGTTGGTTTTTAACTCTTTAACTCCCAAGATCTGACTGTTGATTTTCCCTTCTAGAAGCTACACATTTCTTTGTAAATTAGTAATGAGAATTTAGTGTTAATTACATTAACAACTTCTACCAGATAAGTTTGAGTTTTCCCATGATCTGTTTGTTGGATGAGGGGAGGATATTAGAGGGAGAAGTTATATGCTGATTACTTCTGGGAGTTAAAGAGTTAAATGTAAGGCCTTATAATCAACCTTTTCCAAAACACCAGGGAATTTCATCATAGCCCTGATAAAAAACCTTATTTTGATGTGATCAGAACTACAAGTCTATTAATAAACCCTCTAACTCCCAAGATCTGATCATCAATTCTCCCCTCCAGCTACTACAAATTTCCTTGTAAATTAATTATGAGAATCAGGTGTTCAACCAAGGTAATAAATTGTACCTGATGAGTTTGAGTGTTCTCATTACCTGTTTGCTGTATAATATATGAATACTATTGGGAGAAGTTACATGGTAATCACCACTGGTAGTTAAAGGGTTAATGCAAATTTTCCCTTTCTTTCATAACTTGGATATTCTTCTTTTCTTTACGCAGTCATCCCATTTGTTATCACTCATATGATTGCAAACCAAATTGGACTCCACTCAGTCCTATTACCATTACAAATCTATAAAACAACAAATAACATGTACACAGAACCCTTCCTTGATAGCAGACTCTATGTCTAACAATATCAGGTACTTCTCAACAGATTTTAATCAGTAATCAACTTGGATTTGAGATGACGAGGAAAGCTTTAATTCCCTCCAAATGGCCTGCCAATCTGAATACTTGTGGCTAACATTGCTACAA